GGCATTCAGGGGCTTAAGCTTTTGAGATTCAAAATCACCTTCCCTGCCTCTTGCTGTGCCACCCCTTCCCTGAATCATCCTGTCCCCACTTTTATAGCTACTAGAAGGGAGCTGGGGGGCCAGGAGATATAGTAAAAATCTTGCATTAACACATCAAAATACCCCCCCACCTCACTTGTATACGTATCAAAACTAGCTTGTGTAGGAAGACCATTTGTGTGATATAGTCTTTTGTTCCATTTCAAGTTTTTACAATATGCTTGCTCTATTTGTATGGCTTTTATAAGCTAGTTTTCTGAGAGGCCTTTTTAAGCACAACAACAAAACAAAAGTCTGGTATTTTGTGAGAGTCGGGACTTCCATGGGCTCCATTTCTTCTCTCAGGAGTCCATGAGTTTTGTGCTCAGCAGGTTGGTCAAAGATGTCATTCTGGCCCCAGGATTCAGAAGTCCCTTTGCCTTCCACACCCTCATCTTTGAGTGATGATTCTGGTATATGAGGTCATTGGGGCGTCAGATCAGGAGCCACAGCTGCTATTCTGTGCTCCACTGACCTGTGGATTTCCCCTCGATGTTATCAGTCCATTCCTCCGGGCTCCTCCGGAAACCACTTCATGGAGGTGTTAAGCGAATAAAACTCTCACTGAGCCAGCTGGCAGTGGTTGCAGGGCAAAGGTGCAGTAAATACAAAGGAGAAAAGCACACTTGTGGGAACTTGCAAGTGAATGAGTTCGGAATTGGGGGAAATATGAAATTCTAAATAAGTCATCGTAAGAACTATTCCTTTGACCTACTTCACAGATTTTGTGTAGTAAGACAGGGAAATGTCGAGCATGTTGAGCATGCTGTTTAAATTTGCTCATTATAAATCTAACAGTATTAAATACCCTGACTCTGAACTATTCTGAAGGTCAAGTCATTTGTATTTCTCGGTTCAAGAGTTGCCTTCAGGTCGGGTGCAATGACTCACAGCTGTAATCCTAGCACTCTGGGAGGCCAAGGCAAGTGGATTGCTTGAGCTCAGGAGTTCGAGATCAGCCTGAGCAAGAGTGAGACCCTGTATCTAAAAAATAGCTATGTGTTGTGATGGGCACCTGTCGTCCTAGCTACTTGGAAGGCCGAGGCAAGAGGATCTCTTGAGCCTAAAAGTTTGAGGTTGCTGTGAGCTGTGACCACAGCACATTACCCAGAGCAACAGAGTGAGATTCTCTCAAAAAAAAGAGCTGCCTTCAAGTGGAAGCTTCCCCCAACTTCCCTGCACATTCAGTCAGTGCTTCTTCACCACTTAGTGCATCTTGAATGCAGCCATCTTCCTACAGTTGTCAGTATATTTGGAAGCCACTCAGGAGCAGGGATTTTGCCTTATTGCTTTTGACTTGTTCATGTCCATAATTCCCAAAAGTGCCTGACGTGAAGGAAGCATTTGATCGATAAAAACATGAAAGAGGTGACCAAATGAGCTCAGCTATGGACCAAATCGTGCTCAGTACTGTCCCCCCAGCATCTGGTGCACAGTGGTGCTCATCCAATGTGTGCTAAGGGAATGAATCTCTGCGTGCGTGTGAAGCCAATCCATGGCAGGTTGTGCTAATGACCCTTGACTTCTAAACCCTGTGTTCCTAAATCAGGTCGCAATTACAGGGAGATCTGTTTTCATTCAAGAATATATTTTTATGAAAAATCCTAGGGAGCATTCAAAAGCACATCTCATTTAGGTCTGATTTAACCCAAGTCTTGGATGAAAGAACCAAATTATTTAAGGCAGCTATCTGGTCATCTCATAACTCCCAACTGCTTCACCTTACCATGCAATCAGGTAGCATCTGGGACTGGCAGACCCAGGTGGTTTGATTTTACAGCACTGGAAAGAACTCTGATAAGGCATGTACTCCCCTCCAGGGTCACTCTTGACCCCTTCCTAGATACCATTGTCGGCCTATGAAATGTTCAACGCGGACCAGACATTTCACAAGAATTAGACAGCAGTGAGCTGTGGGGAAGAGCAGTCACTTTGGGAAACTGACTTTTATAACTGTCCTTCTATATGGTTTGTGTTAAATTCCAAATCACACTGTCTCAGTGACCCTGAGTATGAGAGACAAGGACATCCAAGGCTCACAATGAGCCATGGATGAGGAGTAGAGGGGAAATACTCAGGGGACATGATACAATGAGTGTCGATTTGCGCCAAAACATTCTAGGTCCAAGTCCTGGCTCAAACACTTGCTTAATGCATGTCTTTGGTCAAGTTCTTTAACCTCTGTGAGCTTCGCTGCCTCATCTTTCAGAAACAGTTATGATGTCTGGCCAACAGGAATGCTGTAGAGTTGTATTCTGTCCTCAAAGGGAAGAGAGACAGCACTCTTGGCGGAAGGAAACAAGGACTGTATAAAACTTCACTTTCAAACTGTGCCATTAATGTCAATGTTTATTTTTAACAACCAAAGAGAAGGAAAGCAGAAGCAGCCTCAATGTGATATAGAGGCTGCTGTTCGTGGTAAGGAAGGAAATCTACCAGGTACGGGGTCAGGACCCTGAGCTGGACTGAAGCAGGAGACCAAGTCCCTCCTGAAAAGCAGAGTCCCCAAGGTGGACATCAATGTGACAGAGCCCACGTTCATTTGCTTCTCTTCTTAAGAAGTTGATTCTATAGATGGAGCTTTCCAGCTCAGATCATAGAAAAAAGCAAGCCAGTTTCCTGAAAGATCCCCATTCCTGTCCCCAGCACAGCCCTGTCCATCAACTCCCAACAGACAGGGATCATGAGAGGTTCTTGCAGAAGGATCCCCTCCTACCAGACCCACATTCAGCATTGGAAGCTGAAGCCTGCAAATGCAACCAGTGTCTTCCCTAAGAAGATGAGGCTGGTTTGAACCAGGCCTGATGTCAGTGGTTGATGTCATTTCTCCAGTGTCCTTGTTGCTTTTTCTCCAAGGAAGCTACAAAATATGACAAGCAGTAAGACTAATATGAGCTATTTTTCCAATGAGCTGCTAACCGCATTTAGGAGTCAGGACCCCAAATGGGCATGATCTGCATTCCCTGAAAGTCTCCAAAATGAAGATCTGCAGGAATCGAATGGCCCTGGGAATTCCTGAGTGCCCTGCAGAACCGAGATGTGTTCTCCCATCACTTTAGCCCTGGTGAACCCAAAGGGGAAAAAGGAAACAAAACCACCATGAAATTATGTCCCCTCTCCTTGTACTAATTCAATGTAAGGGAGTTGCTAAGAAGGCTCAGCCCCTCAAAGCAAAGTTCTCTTCTGTTGAACTAGCACAAATACTCGAATATAATTTCCTCTTGGAAGAAAGTCATCAAGTACACCATTTTGTTTCTGACTGAATTTAGTTGCTAAAAGAAATGAATTTACCTACTTAGAGGAAGAAGCCTGAGGTCATGGGTGACCCTTGAACCTGGCAGAGTCGCTCAGCACCTGCTCTCCTAACTAACCATTGTACAATACTGGCTCCAGATGAGGGGGGGTTGGGTGCTTTCTGCTTTTCAGAGTCTTTTTCATTTCTGTTATCTGACTTAGCATCCATGTCAGATCTGGGATGCAAGCAGGAAAGATAACAATATCCCCATGTTACAACAGAAAGAAATACTGAGGCTTAGACATGTGATAATTCTAAAGTCTCGTAAGTTGGAGATAAGGTCAAGACTAGAAGCAGTTGTTCTTTCAACAGACATTTATTAAGCATTTAATCTAAACCAAGCAGTGGGCTAGGCTCTGGGAATGCAGCAACAAATAATTGCTAATCTTGAGTAAGCATTTTAATTTGGAAATAAAGTATATAGAACCAATTTCAGCTAATGGTCCTGCTGGAGCTCTTGGGGGATAGGACATTTTGACTGACCTGAATAGCAACAAGGAGGGAAGAAGAGAAGGGCTGGGGTCCTGGCCCATGCAAGGAACAGAAAGCCCAGGGTGGCTGGATCGTGGGAAGGAGGCAGAGAGTGGGAAGAGAGAGGTGGAAGCACAGAGGGTATGCAAGCATCAAAATTTTGAAAACAACTTGGACTCTCCCTAACAAATGCAAATAATGTGACCTAATTATTTATACCCTTCTATCAATCTGAAATTTTTTTTTAATTTTTTTTGGAAACATGGTAGGGACATTTTTTGCATGCCTCATAGCTCTCCACTCCTTGAATGGATAAGTTCCAATACTTTGCCAGAAATTACTAGAAACAATGAAGCCATTGGTCAAATTTTACTATAAAATTAGATAAGGAAGAAGGGTCGCAGCCAGGTAAGTCTGGAGAGTCAGAGTTTATAGAGAGAAAAAGAGAGATTTCTAAATGGGAAAGTTCCCTTCACTTAGCAAAAAGCTATGTCAGCCATGTTTAAGAGGCTGGGTTATCTTCGAGAAGGCAAGCCTGGTCCTTTGTCAAAGATAGGAATCCCGAGTAGAGAGAATTCAGAATTTAATACAGGGAAGTTTTCACTTAACCAAGTTCTAAGGCAGGGAGGCAGGAGGAAAGGAGGAGGGAAGCAGAAGATCATGGGTTAGGTAGATGCTTCTGGTTCTATTTCCCCCTCCCTGGGGCCATAATCTGGGCCTGGAGATATTAGAAACCATCCAGCGAAATGTGGGGAATTCCAGACAGAGAAGTTTGTTCCTGACTTCCCATGTCACAAACGATTGAAATTGGTGTCCAGGAAATGCAAATGCAGCCTTAAGTCATGCCCTGTCCCGCCCCAAAATGCGTCTTCAACCTAACTCCCGTCCTTAAATCTCTCCAATGTCGACATGGTGTGCCTCCACGGGTGGTTGGAATCCAGCCACTGAGAGTAGGGAGCTCATGTGGGAAGACCAGGAGCTGGAAAGGATGGATTCCCATCAAGATTCCACTGTTCCTGGCCTCTCATAGCCTTAGGACAGGCCCCTGCATTCAGGAAGTCAGCGATAGTCAGAAATCAGGTTTTCTAAACGTGTATCAAGCATTTCTCTTTGAGCACCATCTCGCCTTAAACAGCCCCTGCTGGTCCACCGGTATTCAGAATCGGCTCCCAGGGCAGGCTCCGCAGGCTGATCCAGGCCCACAGGCAATGCGGGGGGCACAGCTTGGACGAGTAGCACAGGGCGCAGGCGCAGGCGCAGGCACACAGGAGGGCGGGGTGGAGCACGGATTGCAGGGGAGCCTGCAGAGAGGTGGCAGGGCGACCAGAGTTAGGGTGGGAAGAAAGGAGCCTCAGTGATACAGAGGGCTTGAGGAAGGGGTTTCCCCTCCAAAACAACAGGACAGGGACCCAGCTGACACCCACAGCCACTGGTGCCTACTGAGTGCCTTTGCCTAACCCTGGTCTCTAAAATGCCTTCCAGAATTAGAGTTTTCAGATGAAGTGGGAAATTACTGGGAAGAATTTAAGAAAGAAAAAAGCAAGTCCAAAAGCCGGGGGGATGTATAGTCACAGTTCCTGTTTCAGGAACAACCACACATGTCTCTGTTCTCATCAGTCTGTGGCTACGCCAAGAAGCCCCAGGCCACCAGGCAAATGTCCTCTTGGATAGTCATTCCCTTCACACTCTGTCACCACGCAGAAGCACAGGGTAGTACCCGCATATTAATTTGAATAAAGTTACAAAGAAAAAAAAAGAAACACAGGGTAGGACAGGGCAGCGACTCACTGTAAAGGAGTAAACACAGCCTGTTCTGGTCAGGGACAGCCCATGTGTTGCCCTGACCACGTGAGCATTGGGTAAATGATTTAGCCAGGAATTGCCCAGATCACACGTACTTGCAGTCCTCGCTCTCCAGAAGTTTCCGGTACGTGTTGATCTCGTCCTCCAGCCGGGCCTTGACGTCCAGCAGCACCTGGTACTCCTGGTTCTGCCGCTCCAGGTCGGCCCGGATCTCGGACAGCTGCTCTTCCACGTTGCTGATGAGGCTCTGCATCTGGGCCAGCTCTGTGCCATAGCGGGCCTCGGCTTCACATAGGGAGTTCTGCAGGCAGTCCTTCTGCAGGGGGAAGAGAGTGGAGGAGAGACCCAGGGGTGAGATGGGCCTGCATGTCACCAATGATGATGACATGGCCAGAACTGCTGCAATATGAAGGCTCGCCCTGCACAGGGTGAATTACAGGAACTCACGTCCCAGAGCCCTCTGTAGATCAAGCTGGCTATGAACAAGATTTGTGCCCAGACTAGCACAGCCTCCAAGGCTAACTGGCTACATACTATCCATCTCTATGTATCCATCACTTAACAAAAGTGGGAACTCAGTGAAACTTTTTGAACTAATGCCCATTCTAAAATAGTTTTGATTTTTTAAGATGTGTTCCTGAGTTTGAACTGAGCTTAACAATAATACAAAAAAGGTATTAACAATCAAAGGGGTCTGCAGGTGGGAGGAACAGGGTAGTGAGACCTCCAAAATGAAGTACTACCAGGCCAGAGCATGTGGTGAGTGCAGTGTGGTGAGGGTGAAGGGGCCACGTACCAGGGTGTGCTGGGCCTGGCGCTCCACCTCCAGGGCATTCACTGAGCATCTCAGCTCCAGGATCTCCGACTGGCAGCACTGCAGCTCCTCGGAGCAGGACATGGCCTGCAGGTTGATGCCCTCGGACTGCAGCACAAGTATACAGGTCACCTCCCTGGCCAGATGGAAGCCAGGTCCCCCCTGCTAGGCAGCCCGCCCTCACCTGGGCCTGGAACCACTGCTCCACGTCCTGCCGGTTGGTCTCCACCATGGTCTCGTACTGACATCTCATCTCCTCCAGCACCCGGCTCAGGTCCACAGTGGGCTCAGTGTCCAGCTCAATCCGGAGCTTGTCGCCCAGCTGACTCCTCAGAATCTTCACTTCCTGAGGGACAGAAGGGATGGTGACTTGACAAGGCAATGCCTCTGACAGAGCAGACAGAGCTGGCCCTGCCCCTGACAAGCGGCAGGAGGGAGCCCCGCATGCTAGCAAATGGGAAAATCCTGCCCAGGGCCCTGTGGGGAAGGCCTATGGGGAGACCTTCATGTGTGAGGCAAGGCCCCCACATGCCACAGAGGACATCTGGGCCCTCAGAACCACACCAAGCCCCTGTCCTGAAGCCAGCTGGGCTTAGGCTCCCATCTGAGAGCCACAGGTCAGGGTGGAGTAGGGAGACGCCCTATCTGCCCACCCACCTCACATGGGTCTAGGTGCCCTTGGCCACACCCTCGACCACACCTGCTCATGGTTGCTCTTGAGGGCAAGCTGCTCCTCCTTCAGAGACTCCTGTTGGGCCTCCAGGTCGGACTTGGCCAGGGTGGCATCATCCAGGAGCTTCTGGGTCCCGCACATATCCGCCTCCACCAGCTGGCGCAGGGCGAGCTCACTCTCGTGCCTTCGATCATGGGAGGTATGCGGTTAGCCAGGATGCCCACGGGAGCCCCTGCCGGCTGCCCTGGCCCCCACCTCCCTCATCACCTTGGATCCTCACTTATTCACTCTACTTAGCCCCTAGGACACAACCCAGCTTCTGAAAGAGCACATGGCCTGGTGAGGCGATCACAGCAGCACCTTGCTGCTTCTCACCATAGTATTTTGAGGCAACTGACGTTGGAAAAGATTGACCAACTCCCTACAATCATGTGTCTTAGGACCCAGCACAGCGCTCACACCACTGCACGAGCTGTCAGTCGTTGGTTTCCTGCTCCTGTGTTCCTTGTTTTCAGCTGTTTTTCCATTTTTCATTTTTATCTTGGGGAAGAACCTGGTCCCTTAGGGCTCCACAGGTACATCTGGACAGCGACTCAATCGCTGATGCTTCCCTGACTTCTGCATGAAATTTAGAACCACGGTTCATCCTTGAGATCACCTTATTTTCTCCTGGCTGATGGAACTCAGTGCTCTGTCTACCATTTCAGGGAAATAAGCAAAGAAAGACTAACACGCCCACTGGATTTAATGATGATTTTTCTCCTCCACCTTCTACTAGTTTTGGTAACAGTAAAAATTTTGATTTGGGGAATTTAGCAAGGAAGGAAAAGGACAGCAATCCACTCATTCA